TATATATATGATTTATGACGTTAATAAAAAGAAGAAGAAAAAATAAACAACAACGACAAAGTTTTCATATTGCATCGTAACTCGAGGCTAATTTTATAAAGAAAATTTGAGAATGATAATTCATTATCAACGTTCTCGATGAAATTATTATTTTTTTGTTTTTTTTCATGGTACATGGTCGAAGACACGACACGCCTCTACGTTCCTTCCACAACCCATTGGGATATCTGTTACTCTACCCAACCTCTCGTTCCCTAGCGTTAAAGAATTACGAGCCTTCGAACTGATTATTAAGTCCCATTGATTTAAAGCGGTGCTTTAAATACCCCAGTACATCAAATGAATTTTACTCGGACTATGAAACGAGAGAGAGAAAGAGAAAGAGAGAATCCTTGGTGTGGGTGGGAGTTTTGTTTATTCTTTTTGAAACATCCTTTTGCATACCTCTCAATTAATTAAATATATAAGGGATATTCCATTAACTCTCCATAACACCATGCAAGTAACATCCATGCCCCCATATCTGTATTTAATAAATTTGTATCTTTTTATTCTATCATCTGAATATATTCATTTTTACATCATATTCAATATTTTAAAGATAATTTTTTTTTTGTTAATAAAAGTATCATATATAATATCACCTAATTATGTTTTTTTTGGACACGCGATAGATACGTGTAACAACAAAAAAATATATATATATTATTATTATTATTCATATACAAATTTTCATATTTATTAAATTACATTTAAATTTCATCGAAGATAATTATACGACTAACAAATTAAAATAACTTCGTTATCCTGGAGATCTTTTATTCAATCGTTTATTAAAAATATAATAAAAATAAATGAGAAAAACAATTTCTAATGATATAACACAAGCCGTGAATACAAAAGTAACCAATAAGAATAAACATCAGAATAAATGAAGTTATTGTGTCCGTCCTGTACAAATTATAAAACAAACAAACACATGCTTTACGATATATGAATATTGTATGTTCATCATAATGCATATACATATATGTAACGAAACGAATAAGGAAGGCGGCAGCAACAGCAACAGCAGCAGCAGCAGCAGCGAGCATCCCTTCTTGGGTTGGCAATTTGCATGACCGATGATCGGTCACCACTATAAACGATTCGCTAGAAGTGCATCATTATTATGCACTCTTGAGATACCGATCAAACTGTCAGTAATAACAGTCGCACGAGCTGTACGCGTACGCGAAAGGCAGCCCTCGTGTTTATTAAATTACGTCAAATTATTGGTACTCTTGAAAAAGGGCTTGCTTGCATTATATCCGAAGAGAGAAGAAATCCTAGATCGTAGTCCTTTCACGTTATATCGTCCACCCTCTTTCGAGATATTACACACGAGAATCGAAAGGATATTGATCGTTGATTTTTTTTTCTTTTCTTTTTCTTTTTTTTTTTAAGAAAAATGTGATCAAAACAAAAATTGCAAAAAATTTATATACTTCCCTTTTTATTATTATTATTATTATTATTATTATTATATATAATAATACTCATATTGTATAGAGGGGTGTGTCTTAATATGTAAGACTAACTTTAGTAGTGAACAAAGGAATACAAAAAAGTATGAAAAAATAAATCACGTTTCAAATTTATAATCATTTTTATGGTTTATATTTAATAATACACGATAGATAGATAGGGTTTATTATATTTTTTCATGGAAAACTAATCGAAATTGATCATCTTTCGTTTATATTTCTAAAAAGTG